ACCGTCAAGTCACTGCCTCTATGTGTTAACATTTCACCAACCAAACCCATGACGGTATGTGTTAAGCTATTGGTGTGGTTCACATATTTTTGTAGACGTAAAAGAAAAAGCACCCTGGTGATCTTCCCTTAGAAGGCTCTGGGCGAACCAGCCCATGGCGCACAAATCTTCCCGATTGTAGTAATTTCGACAACCAAAAAAAACGATAAAACAATAGATCATTTCCCTTGGAGGAATCTTTGATTTCCAACAATATAGCCACAAATAGTACTTTTCAGTTGAAGTATGAGAAGAAACAGCAACTTATCTTCTATTGCATCCCAGGAGTAGGAACAGACATTCTAGAACGGAATATATTAAACTGTCGGTATCGCAGTACACTATTTTATCTGGATTAAGGTGCAAATATATACCTGTCATTTTCGCTCAGGATGTATGGAATTCTTTGAGCTATCTTAGCCGCAGTTCTATCCATGACTCTACCGAATAGTAGTAATGTAAGCTATCTAATATATTGAAAGACTGAAACTCTTCACGTTTTAGATAAATTATTTAGAGGACACATTAGGGCGATATGGTATTAGATATCAACCCATCGTGTGTAGCCACCATTAATATCTCTAGGTACGACAGGGGGATTTTTATCTTACAAATCGTTCAAAAAGCTGTGCCTTTATGTTTTGTAGGACTATGGTAACATATAATTATGATGTACTGTAGGCGATCCGCGGCGGATAATGTTTTACATGTTAGTATCTCGAGAAGATAATATGCAGGACCGAACTGAAATCTTCTTAATTGCCACGTTGTTCCTGATGCCGATACATTCGCGTAACACACGCTTCAATTGGATTATTATCTTTTTTATAAACCAAAGCAGGCGCATAAGCCTAAATACCAAGGCAGCGCGGCTGCTATGAGGAGCTTAAATTAACTTTGGTAATCCGATTTTTAAACTGATGACCAAAATCTATGTTAACGGATGTGGAAGGGTCCCGAGACTGTCCACTAGAAGAGAGCCATCGGAGAGCAGCATCGAGCATGGATCATGTAGTCGGAGCAGCAGTCTTTGTGTTACATGTTGCATTTTATTCATTTTCCTTGCAACTGTTGAAAAGAGTGAGTGGTAAATTGGTGTGTTTTTTTGACAACGTACCACACCAGAGTTTGCGGGCACTTGGTGGTACAGCCCCCGTCTATTACGCGGAGGTATCGAAGCGTATATTGAGAGTAAAACCTGAGTCAGACCTCTGTCAATATGATACAAATGTGTCATCCGTTGTTCCACCCCTGGTGCCATTTTATTTAGCCAAAACAGAGTCTGATACCGCGTTGCTATGGTGGTTACCAACGTACTCTATTGTCTGAGCATACCATAACTACGAGAATTATACTTTGTGTAAGCCGGTCAAAATTTCCTCTACTACTAGACCCTAGATCGTAGTGCATTGAGCTTACGGCATATAAATTTGTGTTGATCACGGAGCTAATGTTCTCCTATTCTCTTCGTTCAGGGGGAACACATTATTATCTTCAGGATCCTACTCCACTGTCTTTGCCTGGAAGGAATGTATTGAGCTATCGGTGTCGCTGTACACAAATTTATGTAGATGCTGGAGCAAAGGTCCCCCTGTCATCTTCGCTCAGGATGCGTAGTGTGCTTTGTGCGACCCTGTCCGCAGTCCTACCCACGGTTCTACCGAACAGTAATAATTCTGGCTATCGGGTGTCTCGCAAGATAATGAGGAAGTTCGCCGGAAACGGCTATCATCAACAATAGCTTAATTTATCGTTCCGTGTATGCCGAATGTACACCGGATGTTTATTTAGATATTATCTGCTGTTTGCTTTAGAACTTGGATACGGCTCTATAGGTGCTTTAGTGGGGTGCAGTCAATCCCAGTATGGCCCTTTGTACGCAACACCGTGATTCAACTCTGTATACTCACAATTTAATACATATACGAGTAGTATAGGAGGCGAGATGATATATTTAGGCACGCATAATTGACATAGCACTTTTATTATCGTTAAACCAGCGTTCAACGTTAGCCGTTATACAATATAACAAATCTATACTACCTATTTTTAGAAGAAGGTACCGTCTACTTAAATAGGGCGAAGAATTTTCTGCATAAGGTTGGGCAGTCGTCAGTATACTCAATGACAACAAAATTGCGACTGTTCAACCAAAATGTACAGTCGATCATACTATATTGGCGTGAAAGATGTGCGAATACGGAAGCCGACAAACACAGACATCTAGAACTAAATATTTACATTAAGATTTTCCAGATATCCCCTCGGAAATTTGGCACGTTGCATGTCTCTCAATGGAGGCTAGCAAATCTCCGCCATAATATCAAAACTACTTATGTCTTTTTCGACGTGATGAGAAAAATTATTTCTCAAGTTATTCTGAGCAACGATGCAATACGACAACTATTCGAAAAACTCTAAAGCTGCAGCAATTGACAACGTTGCATATGTAGGTTTCATATAAGATGTATGAACGCTTCATTGATCATCCAAATGTGTCTTGTGAGTTTTCGTGTTGACCGAGCAACTTGTCATTTGGTTTTTCTTCATTTTTATATATAAGTAAAACTATAGTCAACAAGGCAGAAGAACATGTTTCGATTTATAGATGAGTACAGGTTATGTTTATGTTTTATTTTCGGTTCCCAGTGGAGTGATCGCTATTCCGTACCAATAAAATAGATGTATCAATGCTCTTCGACTCAGATTTTTGCACAGAGTTTACTTCATACATGGAACTTTATTATGTTTCCATTTATGGACAACATACCTTGCCGTTTTTTAGTTATACCCAAGTTATGGCTATAATTTTCTTCATCGTTCCTCAAATTAATCAAAACTTCATATACTCAGTGACATATAAATCCGAACACCCAGTTTAAATGGTTTTATTTTAATAAAATTTTGTATAAGTACTTAATGAAGCATAATAAGTAAATGATAAACATTTCAAAATGATTGCACTGCTTTAAAGCCCTTTGACCTTTAATAATGTGTGGATGCACCCTGATGTGCTACGCATTCTCCAACGCGCCTAGGCATGCTTATGATCAGGTGGCCAATGTCCTCCTATGGTATCTCATTCCAGGCAACCACCAACTCCTCTCGAAGTGCTTCTAGAGTCTGAGGAGGACGTTGCAAATTGAGCAATCTCCTACCCATCATATCCCACACGTACTCAATTGGGGATAAGTCGGGAGATCTTGGTGGCCATGGTAACAATGGGACATCATTATGTTGAAAGAAGTCTATTGTGACTCTTGCAACATGTGGTCGGGCATTATCTTGTTGGAAAGTTGGATCTGCCAGGGTGTCAAGATAGGGTAAAAGATGGGGTTCTAGAACTTCGTAGATATAACGCTGCGCGTTCATGTTACCTCTGATGAAGATTAAAGGTGATCTGAAACCATAAGCTAAAGCACCCCAAACCATAACTCCAACAGTGTGATGAACATGTCTTTCAATAAAAAACTGTGGAATCCTCCTTTCACCACGTCGCCTTCTAACCCTGGCACGACCATCGTGCATGCCTAAACAAAATCGAGACTCGTCACTAAAGACACTACTGTTCCATTCCTGATCCCAGAGTGACCGTTGTCTGCACCACTCAAGGCGATTACGTCGTTGTTCTCGAGTTAAAGGGAGGACCCAGTGTGGCCGGTATGAAAACAAGCCAAACTTCTCATTCGTCGGTAAACACTTCGCATGCCAATAGGTCTTCCGTGTTCTGCAAACCATTCATTTGCAATGGACCTGGTAGTGGAGAAACGGTCCCTTAAGGCCAATAATCTTAGGCGACGATCTTCACGGTCTCTTGTTCTACGGAGGCGTCCAGTGCCCCTTGCTCTTTGCGCACGGCCTTCTCGAAGCCATGCCTGACAACACCTAACCACAGTGTCTATACTTCTTTGCACTCTAACTGCAATTGCGCGAAAAGAAAGTCCAGCTTCCCGAAGTCCCACTATACGGCCCCTATCAAACTCACAAAGTTGACGAAATCGTACAGGTCTCTGTACTCTAGACAGCGTAACCGATAGTAAAGGATGTCAAGAACCAAAACTCGCCAACGTTGATTCTTTACTGCGGCTGAAATATTCAATTTTAGAGCGTTAGTGAATTAATAAAAAGCAGTATAAAAACCGGAATGTCCAACTGATAAGGCTGAAAATTTTTTCACTTGTTATTTACAGTAAGATTAATACATTCACCAACTTTTATTAAAATAAAACCATTTAAACTGGGTGTTCGAATTTATATGTCACTTAGTATATTTTCCATGAAACGCATACTTTTTGTGAAACATAACGTGCTACAATTCTTCACAACCTCTTCGTAGTTTGCTACCCATAAGCTGTACCTATTAATACTATGAATCATGTTTATTTTATCTTTGAGGAATCTCAGTGTCTTCAATTTTGGCCATTATATTAGTAATGCTTGTTAAGTTGATTTTTTCCTTTTCTACCGAGATGCTAAGGATCCTATTTAAATGAGAGCTGCCAGCGGTGACAGTCATTTTTTTCTACCACTAACCCATGAAATCGCGATTACTGGCCGCAGCGGTGGCCGCAGTAGTGGACTATTCGGTCTCCTGATTAGTCCGTGCGCTGTGCGAGTTTGAATCCCGTCCCAGGAGAAATTTTTCTCTTCGCTATGGATGTTGTGATTGTCCGTAGTTGGTAGACGGTCATGACTGTCGAACGCGGTGGTACCACCTGGCGGATCTCGTAGGCGGAGCCAGAATGTGTGCGTGTTGCATGCACACATGTTCCCTCGCCAGAGCCCGTGTGGCGTTCCCCCTTTCCCCTTATAGCCCCACGGTAGGTACCCAATGGGTGTTTAGGCCATAGGGTAGTTGGAGTATAAAAAAGCCTTATTGAGAGGTAGCATTTCTTTATATCAATCAATCCTGTTAATACGATTCTTGAACTGCCTAAGGTTAGTAGAACTTTCTCTTGTAGATTGTTCTACAATCTCGACACCCTCGGGACATAGGTGCGGTCGTATCGGCCAGTTCTGGTTGTACGAAGTTCGACACCGTTAGGGTGGGTCGCCAAAGTCTCCTCTGGACAGCATCGAGCTGCTTCTCCCTGAACGAAAAACAAGACGAGGATGCAAAACTACATGATTCTGTTCTACTGTATCACATAAAATAAATTAACATAACAATGTATCACTTGCTGTATCTGATGTACCAGTCAAGAGGGGCCTCTTGAAAAATTGCCGTTCAGGCCTTTTTCATAAATTATACTCCATATATTCAAGAATATAACATTCGTGCTGACTAGTCAGTATCCGGCCTCTAAGACGGATCCTATGCTACGCCACTGGATCGCGTTTTGAATGTGTGACCTTGCAAATCATACGTCCTCCAAGTCGGCCATTTTCAGGCTTTAGTTACACACGCACTGCTTCCTGACACCATCGATATGTTCGCAAAGACTTAATTTGGATTTTATGAATGAATTAAGAGGTCTATATTTTTTTAGTAGTTTTACAAATATCATGACCAAGAATAATATCAATCTAGGAATTGACAAGATAATGTATTTTGAAAGTAATTAAGATAAATAAAGTGGAAGAAGAAAGATGGGCGAATCAGACGCTAGAATGACCATAGTAGAGCCCTCAGGGACTCAGAAATATGGGCCGACTTGGATAAGAACGGTATATGGTGTAATCAGGACATCCATTTGTAGAGAACCTATGTTTCTCAATTAAATGACTAGACTTTCTATTAGAAACACGCCCTTATAGGATCTGATTACAAGAATGTGACATCCCCTTGGCGTACCAGATCAAGCGAATGTCACAACCTTCACGTATCACGTCTTCACAATGACAGCTGACAGTGCCTCGTCTGCGGATCGCAGTGTCTAACAAACAAGATCGCTCCACAGCATATACAATACTTAGCAGCCGCGCAGCTTCCTAAGGATTTAGCTGAATTTTCGGTGCATTTATATGATTATTAGAGCTTACGGTTCTCTCCCACACATACATACGCAACCAGCCTCCGTACTCAGATGTTTGAGTGAACTTACAGGAATACGTCTTTGTTTTGCCTTGAACATTTTGTTGTCAACGTATAAGTCTCACACTTAATGCTTGTCACTGTGAGTATGATAACTTGACTGTCATAAGCGTATAATCTGAGATTCCCTTTTGTTGATCTTAGACGTAACACAGCAATTTTCAGCAGATTGTCATTTCAGTGCCATGAGAAACATCTAAGTTAATATACAAAAACAGATAAAACTTCCATAAATTTCATTTATTTTTTTTTTGAAACTGCTGTTTGCATTGCTGAAAGCAGAATTTCTTTGTATAAGGCTGCACCTACATAAGATAACATTTTTTTAATGCAGTTGTTTTGTGAATAAGGATGTTTATTCCATGGCTGACGAATCGTAGGTTAGCATTGTGAAGCCGATTGCGAATTAATATTTTATTATTTTATCATTGGGGTGGGTAGGGCACTTATTACAAAGAACCGGATGGACCAAACAACAGACTTACATTCCTTACGTGGTTGAGGATACATCAGATTTGAATCTTCTGCAGCCAGTAAAATTGCGTCAGATAAGGACCAAACATACAGTCGACATGCCTATTTTGGTTGCATGTAATCGCCAAAAACCGTGAAAAGACCTACAGTATTAAATATGCTGCGTCTCCTATGTGACAGCTGACAGCATCTCGTATGTGGATCGAAGAATGGGATAAACAAGCTCGCATCACGGTAGACGTATCCCAGCGGGAATCTTCCAATTACGTGCCTTGGAACAGCAGAGCGCAGTCGGCTGACGAATTTCTCGCAATTAGTCAAAATCGGGTTGGCGCTGTCTCCTTTACAACCTCCGCGGGATCCTCCACATTTCCTACTAACGCTTCTTGTATGGTACGGTTCATGTAGAAAAATGCACGAAGTTTACTCCAAGTTGCGTGAATGACTAAGCATAAATTCTCATACACATTTCACGAATACTTTTAAAATCTGTAAGCCCTACTATTCAAATCCATTGTGGGGTAAAACATAATAAATATGTTCACGAGATTTCTTAGCAACAAATAAACGCGGCGGCTCTAATTAGCGAATTTAGTATGTAGGGAAATAATATTTGTAACTTTAAGAGGTGATTCCGTGCATTATTCTAAGCACAAAGGTTCATTGTAACCCATGTCCGATAATCAATCGTTTTCGAGGGAAGCGAGTCGTAAATGATTAAATTTTTCCAAACATTCGGCAATGCTCGAACGCCACGGCGATACGAGCGCACGACGACCGCAACTAATTCATAGAATTGTTTACGTTAGTATGATATTTTTGTTGAAAATATGCCTTGAATTATTGAATACGACGTTGCCAGCTGTGTGAGGGATTTTGATTGTTTGTTTTTCTTCGGAAAATTGTATTTAATAAGCAAGAAATTATTTTGTTAGAAGCAGTTAATTAATAAATAGATGTGTTGATACATTTTACGCTATTAGGCATATGAATTTAAATTATTGAGGTGTAAAATTAATTTATTTCCTGACTAAAAAGAAATAAGTTCAGTATTTTTTTGCTCCAAACCGGTTGATTTTCGGATAGGTTATGACGAACTTTTTTGCTTAGAATAATGCCAGGAATCACCTCTTAAAGTTACGAATATTATACCCTGTAGATCATTTGATCCGCCTCAGAATTGCAACCAGGTGTTCGAGTGGCGTGGCCATCAAAAACCTTCTTTATCACACATTTCCTCGTGAAACTAATACATTTCAGTCATAATCACGATTCTGAATACAACCCTGTCTAATTGATCAGCTTTTGAGTATTACGCGTATAGTAGATGATAGCCTACTTCCACTATAACTTGAATTTGGATGGAGCTTGGGCTTAACCGACCTCAACCATCTTAACTATGTGGGAGGTGAAAGAATTTCTTTAAATTACCTAGAAAGCTTTTGAACATGTAAGAAAATTAACCAGTCTTTAAAATACCTCGTATCGTATGTATTGGGGCCACACGCCTTTTTCTCTTTTATATTTTCAATTTTGTTTGTTGACGAAATGGTAAATAATATAAATAAATGACCTTTTGACTCTGCCCACGCTACGCCACTGCTAGTGGTGTATTCCGTGTTATGAAAGACTTGCAAAAAACAATAGATGTTTCCGAATAACGCTGGCTTATGCCGGATTGTGTTGTTCGCCAACTTGGTGCTCGAAAATCCAGAAGGCCGTTTGAACGCCTTGGGGGCCACCTACAGCTACAGGACCTCCAAACACGCGGAAGACAGCAGAATGGTAAGATGACCTTGGGCTTTGACTATAAGTTGCCTTTTATTTTTATTTTCTTATCATTCCGCACCCACGCACAAGAAGGGGTCTACCTCCAGTTAACTAACATCTCCTAGCTGTCACAATTGACAACCGCATGTAATGCATGTACGCCATCCTTTCTTTACTAAGATACCAATAATTTACTACATTCCTTAGAAATTGCGTTCGATTTGTAGACACCAGATACAAATAAATTGCTGGGATTGAGATATTTTATAGAGAGGCAGCCGCTGAGGGATAACCTGAATGGATAGGTACTGCAACTGCTGAAATGAGGTAAAATTGTTGACTTTGTCCAAAACACCACAGTTTACACACCCTATAGTCCGCAGTCATCACAAGATGACATTTTTTGCCTCTCAGGCCAACTGGCAAGCAAGTAATGGATTCGCAAAGGAACGTACACTCGTATATCGTGTGTCTGGTCCTCTTTGATTTATTGTTCATTTCATTAATATCTTTTTCGAGATTCTTAAACCAGATTACTACGACTGCCACTGAACGCATACTTGCTTTTTCAATATTTTTCACTTTGTGACCAGTATTGGACGCAACCAAAAACGTTTTGGAGGGATCGAGAACTGTTGACGTTTTTCAGATTGCTGGCGACTTTAGCGGTCGAACAAACATATTAGCAGACAACAAATCTTGATATAGGCAGTCCTCTGATTTCGGTCATGTGACGTGGATTTCGCGTGACTAGAATCTTAATCGTTGGAAGTACCGAGTCAATCTAGTTGACTCCATTTTTTGCCTGCTTTTATGTTCCAATGTGGTGCATCACCATTGAACGGCATATTTTGATATTGATTTCAAAGAAGTGTTTCTAAAAAAGTGTCCAATCGTTTTAGTTCGGAAGAGATGAACTAACTAATGTAACTTCATAAACTCATCCTTCGATTTTCACGTTGATAGGACTCCGTTGTCTAGCCGAATTAAAGCAAAAAATCTTTTAAGTTCTCTTTATTCTACGACGTTTCGATCTCCACGGTGGCCTCTTTCAAGTGCAACGACAATTATTGACACTGTATTTTTGTTTACATGTCTTCTAGGTCAAGGTTCATTAATTTTCTTCATCTTCTTCGATCCCATACAGTATGTTGCGACAATATGTTCAAGATGTCACCGATGTGTGTTTCATTGATTCCGAAGTAATGCCATTTTTTTTTTTCGTTCTCTGTCAGGCTACCTCTATAAAAGAAATGTTAAAATGACACGCAGATTCAGGCTTTTCATTTTCTCTGTCTTTCTGAGCTGCCTTAAGGCGAGAATACACGCATAGAAGCATGCAGTCACGCTGCCAGTTAGAAAGCATGATAGGAGATAGTATGCCAGTAGATCGCATGCCAATTGATTTTTGTGTCCCAGTAGATGAATTTCGTCGTGTGAGTGGAGGAGGAGAAGCCTGCAATTCGTGTCGAAACATGTGTGAACGACGTCGTGGCCAGAAGCTCGCATGTGACAAACGGCTAGTCCTCAAATATATTTTTTAAAATCGTGGAAAGATGGCCCGACGGGGAAATGAAAAGACTATTGTTTGTTATACAGTATAGGGAGTATTAATGTCTGTGGGATACGTCAACTCCACTGTATAAAAATAAAACCACTAGAGACAGCGCTTATAAATCTTTATTGGAGCATATCAATGATGATAACATTGATATGTATCAAAAATAAAATAAAAAACCTAAGAACAACTTATCACCAAGAGTTAAAGAAGATAAAGGAATTTACGCACTCAGGTGCAAGGTCGTCAGATCTTTACGAACCTACAATTCCCTGGTGTGAAGAGATGCATTCGTTTTTCGGCGATTCAACACAACATAGGGAACCGGGAACCATCCGACGACACAGTCTGGGATATCCAAGACTTGCATGTGTATTCCAACAACTCGAAGGGCATGCAAGTTACTGGCCACTAGCACGCTATTTTACTGCCATGCGTATTCCCGCCTTTACACTGGTATGCATAGACGTTCTCCGGTGATGCGCCAGCGGTCCGCCGTTCTACGAGTACAAATGATTATTTCAGTACGGAAACCATCGCCGGATGATCGGCGGTTCACCAGGAGACCATGCATCGGAATCATCCGTAAAGCGGCCTACAAACCTTGATGTATGCTGCGATGCATTATGTTTCATGACGCAAGTAGCAGTGTGTGTAGCACTGAACGTCGTATTTGGCATCAGTTGTGGCTTGCAGCGATGCAGAATCTGGAATCAAACTTTGATCGGCGAGCTACGACGTCATGTCGGTGATGCTGATGCAAGTTTCACCGTGTATAGAATTGCGTCGATGCCTAGACGATGCTTAGTTTCCCGCGTCATTTTACAGGTCCGTTTGTTGTTTGTCTACGTGTGCATAAATTCCATGATGGAAAGTGATCGACAATTTTGGGAAGTTGTACTTTTAGCTCTTCCAATAAATTTTCATTTGCATAACGTCTTCTTTCCTTGACCATATCTTGAACTATTCCTTTCTTCAATTCCTTTTTCTTTTATGGAGTATTTAGTGTCCCAACTATTGCTATTAAAACTGGTGTTGGCAAAACGTACCTCATTCTAGTCGTCAAGCAAATAATAACGCACTAAGTAGGAGGGATGTCTTTTAAGTTTTGCATATAGAAACATAGTAGGCCGCGCGGATCGAACGTCAGTATTGAATCTTAAGCTCACTCTTTAGTAAACTTAAATTCAAAGTTTCACAACAATACGTGCAGTGTTCTCACAAAAGCGAATTTTTAAATGTCACCAAGTCATTAGAAAAATGGAACTCAACCGAGAACATTTTCGCGCCATAATTTATTACAACTTTCAGATACGATTATCGCAACAAGAATGCCTTCCTGACTTCCTGTCTGTTTTCGGCAACGAAGCATCACATCAGTCGACAATTTCCCGTTGGTATGAAGAATTCAAACGTGGACGGGTAAGTCTTACGACGCTCCCAGGGTGGGTGCACCAAAAACGGCAGTCACTCAGGAAAACGTCGATGCTGTGCGCAAAATCATCATTGAAGATAGACATGTGACATGTGAGATTGAGGCGTCCTTGAAGATCCCAAAGACCTCAATTCCAAAAATTTTACATGAAGAATTAGGAGTAAGAAAATTAGTTTCTCGTTGGATACCCCACCTGTTGACTGACGAGCAGAAAGCAGCCTGTGTTAATTGGTGTCAAAAAATGCTTGACCGTTTCAATTCCGGAAACTCAAAAAATGTGTACAGCATTGTTGGTGGCGATGAATCGTGGATTTACTGTTATGAACCAGAAAATAAACGACAGTCGGCTGTTTGGGTGTTCCAAGGTGAAGAAAAGCCAACAAAAGTCCGTTCTCGAAGTGTTTCGAAAAAGATGGTGGTGACATTTGTGTCAAAAGCGGGTCATAAAAAATCAACCCCGAAGAAAGAATTATCCTCCACCAAGACAATGCAAGCTCGCACACAGCCCAAAAAACAAGGCAGTATTTAACGGAAGAAAACGGGGAATTATTGGACCATCCTCCATATAGTCCCGATCTAAGTCCTAACTATTTCTTTGCTTTCCCGAAAATTAAAAACAAACTGCGTGGTCAAAGGTTGCAGTCACCAGAAAATTGGTTGGAGCGCAGGCAGACGTGTATTAATCTTCGTGGAGAATACTTCGAAAGACAATAAAGTCATTTAAAACTACCTACCGTGTTGTTTTATTTCCATAAGCAAAACTTAAAAGATATCCCTCGTATTTTTAAAAATGCCTTCACCCTATTGTTCGTGCGTTGCACGAAGCATCGAGTCGATTCAGGCATCGCAGCAGGTTTCGCTTTGAGTAGGCGCTTATGCAGCTGATGCAAGTTTCACGAAACGTTGAGGCGATTCAGGCATCGCATCATACAGAAACGTGTATAAACCGCTTTAGAGAACGGCGAACTGCCGGTTGTGCATACCAGTGTTACATTGCCTTATGCAATAAGCCTACGTACGCCCAGATTGACCGTACTAATAGAAACTGGAACTGGAAAATCCCCAGTGCGGTGTGGTTAAGGCCCTTAGCAATCGTTTAGCTCAGATATATAGATTAGGTTAAGAGACTACACAATTCTCAAATTTACTGTGGCTCCTATGAGACGTATTGTAGCACATGCTCTCTGTGGTAGAATTCATTAGAGCGTTGCGCGGTATTTGGCTTTGTTCCTTTGACGAGCGCGTTTAGCGCTTCAAGTCATTTTGCGTCTATACCGTTTGATTGCAGGCCTCTATTCGAAAGTGCTGGGGCTAGAGATGCCGAAAACGTCTAAGAAGAAGGGAACATAATTTGAATTCTATGGTTAACTGCATGCAACCGACATACAAGAAAATTGATCAATAGATTATCTACGAAACATCAATAATGGTTTGTTAGCAGTTCAGTCCTTCGTCGTCAAAACAATTCGGCTTTAGACTGTGCGCGAAGCACCCAATTCATTAATGTGATTGTGCAGCACACGAGAGTATGTGTTGATAAGATGACAGATAGTCTCTACCCAAGTGTGTGCAAATATAGGGTACTCCAAAGGGATCCAAAGTTTAGAGGCAAATTAGGAAGAATTGAGGTAATCCATCGAGATTTCATGTCTCAGTGAGGGAGGGTTCAAGGCAATGCGAATAGAATCTGTATTTTCAGGAGCAATGCCTTGATCCAGTTGGATTCTGTGCCCGACAACCATTGAGTAATTTCCGCTTTCGACTACTGAGCTGTATCAGAGATAGCGAGTAGTGGGATATTCTCAAATCTGCAGGGCGTATAATTTTGTAACAGAAGTTTAAATAGATGAGTTTATTGCTATACAGGGTGTTTAAGAACTAAGGGATCAGACTTATACTGCCGTGCTTAGCGGTAACACCGCATCTACAAAAATAAAACATGGAGGAAAACATGTTTTTTCTTTTTTCAGAGCCGTAAGAGAGTTCAAATACTTTCGCTGCCTTCTATTGTCATAACCAATT